GGAATGTCAGAAAATAGGTGTTTGCTTTTAGTCTTTATGTTTTGTGGTACCTATTATGCCAAGAGATAAGTTATACAGGTGGTCAGGACCTTGCCTTCTTGGCATGCTGAGGATGACATGCAGGGGCCTGAGAGACACAGAGATTACTAGTTTCCTAGAACAAGATAAAGCTACAATCCAAAGAGTAAACAAAAAAACTTCATTTTTTCCAGAAGGAGGCAGACACAATGTCTAATATCTAGGGAAGAGGAAGCTATGAGAATGGAGACTGGAAGTTGAAAAGAAGCCCTTAGCTGGAAATAGTCTTACTATTCTTGGAGCTAATTTCTAAAGAATTTTGCTTGCTTGAGGACATAATGCAGGATAGAAATAAAAGTGACTTGCTAAGTGCATGCAGTGACATGTAAAGAAAGAATACCTTATAAAGTCTAATGCTATGCAGTTTACATTTAGCAGGCCAAATAATCTAGTTGTGTATTACTCCCTGTATTTATCCAGAGTACTTTGTAAAGTCTTGTGGTCTCATTTGGGCTTCTGGGAATTAAGAATCAAAAGCTTGAGCCACAATATTAAAGGGAAACAGTGTCCCCTGGAGGCCAAAGTGGCAATACCTAGAGACCGAAAGAAATAGAAGCCAGAACAAGGGAGATGTCAAGTTCTTTATAAACGCTAAGAAAATGTTTGCTAAGATTTAAAAAAAAAAAAAAAAGAAAAGAAAACCCTCTCATTTAAATATTTTAATAAATTGGTATGGATTTTTTTCTCTTAACATGATGAAAAATATTTTGTTTTGTTTTGCTTTGCAAAGAGGTTTTGTATCAGACTAAGGAAGGCCTTACCTACACAAAGTTCGTAAAGGTATTTTATATATAGCATATTTATAAACCATTATATGGATAGCCAGTTATCTCTGTGCTGGTTATGCTGAGTAATCTAGTTTTCTCCCAGTTATGTGAAATGTCAACGTCATCATGGGTGAAATTCTACATGTATGAACCTGGGATATTTTCTAGAATCTGTTCTACTCCTACTGATCTAGTTGTTTTTTCCCGATGGGTACCATACCACTTTATTAACTATATAGTTTTATTATTTTTATGAGTGGGACAATTATTGTAGGACAAATCTTATTTTGTAGTTACTTTTCAAGTAACTACAACAGTAAACTCCATGAGCAGAAAGACAATGTCTTTCCATCTTTGCTTTTTGCTCACTAAGCACTGTGTTTCACATACTGCAAATTCTCAATAAAGACTTGCTAAATGAGGGGAAGCCCTGGTCGCCTAGGAGTTAAGTCTCAGCACTATCATTGCTAGCCAGGGAGCTAACCCACATATGGAATAGCAGACACATTTCTCACCCACTGCTCCCCTTAGCAGTCTATTTCAATAATCTGCCTGTTCTGCTCCTCACTCTCTCTGGTGAATCCTCTCAATCCTCCATATACTTATGCCTTTGGCCTACACCTCAGTACCTTTACATACAAAAAATTTTTAAAAAGACTTTCTAAATGAATAGAATTTTTGTAAAGTTATGGGGGAGTATAATGGATCAGCCAGTACTTGATTCAGCTCCTTGTTCCATTTTAACTCCTAAAATATTATCCACCAATGTTAAAACTTATTGTTGGCATGGTTTGGTTTAATATGCTTTTTCTACTTGAGAGCACTAAGTCTTTCCTAACTGTATTGGAGATATAATAGGGTGGTCCCTAGGAAAGGGGAGGTTCCAGGTTCCCTGCCCCGTCCAAAAGGAGGGTAGAGCTGAACAATGAAGAGAAGAATCTGAAGAGGGAGAAGTAGGACAGAGAGTCAGAAGGTGACCTAAGGAAGGCACATGCAGCAGAGAGACATGTAAAGAAGCTTTCTTGTTTCTTGGTTGAAACAGATATGGGTCAGAGAACTGTGTGGAGATTCACTATGGCAGCATTTATCTTGATTTTGATTTTGTTCTTTTCCTCCCAGACTTGTCTGGCCATTTCTGACCCTGGGGACCCAAGTCTAAAGCTGGGAAGTGCTTTAGACTTGTGGCAGGCTTTCGGACCTTGCTTTGGGCCAATCCTTTTGGAGTACACTTTTACCCAGGAGGG